TGTACTGCCCACTCTAGAGCGTGAAGTTCAGAATGGGGAATATAGTGACTCCTTTAGTGGTTGAGGTTATTCTCAACCAGTGTTGTGGATCATTGTGGTGTGTTTATCGCTTGCCTTTATTATTTTACCAAGAAAATTATTGAGGACATTAGACTTTTTATTTTATTTTCTCACTTACTCCAGTTGTGCTCCTTTCAGTTTTGCTAGGCAGTTTCGTTGACATGCGGCCTAATGCCATGCCTATTCTATAATAGGATCTTACATGGTTCGCCAGTGTCCAATTTTTAATTTTCCGGTTTATCAACAACAATGGGTCCTAGTGAATTTGGGTTCCCCCCCCCCTTGTTCTGCTCAACACTCAGTGGCTTGTAATAANAATGGAAGGATAGGAAAGAATCACAGAGAACATCCCTCGAACGTCATGTGTAAGAATTGAATTAAATACACTGAAGCGTCAATCAAGGCCGCGTTGTGTGGCGTCTCTTGGGGAACAGCATAGTCCGGCTGCCACGAAACCTTTCGCAGTTGGACATTAATTAGGTTTTTGTGTGTGATCTGATAGCATCATATCCGTTCAACTTTGCTCCGCATCCAACCAGATAATTAAATCCAAAAGACATTTAACTTCATTGATCACGGATTTTACGACCCCTCATTATGAGAGATTGATCTCAGTTCGCAGTACACCGGACCGCTTGACCACCTAGGGCATGCATGTTCAGACGTGAACTAACGTTTGTACTTTTCTGTCACTCGCTTATGCGCACATACTCTCGATGTCTGATAAGTCTGCTTCATCCATTTGTCCGATCGTTCATGCGCATACTCTGCATCCGATTGTACTCTCTCTCTCCATTTACCTTCTGTTTTGCGTTTTTGAAACATCTCAGCGGTTGGGACTTGTTAACGCTCCGGATCCCTTGGGAAGCTATTGAATCGTCTTTTATTATATGGTTCATAGTGGATAGGGTGTTCTCAGTGCCCACTGAGGTCGACTGTTGAGTTGAACCGATCGGCTGTCTATGCCCTCTGGAATTCTAGGTGGCAATAGCCAAAGGTCATTGCTTGTGGCTCACCGGTCCATAACCTAGTATTCACATTAAAAATTCCTGGGATCACAGGATACGTGCGGTACTGAGCCGCTCGGTAGCGAAGTTGTGTATATCACCAAAGCCAATTGGTGATGACCAGGGCATGTCAATAACAGCTACTTTGATGGTTAATCAATCAATGATTTTCATCTTTTTCCATTTTGTCCATTCGGATCAACAAGCTGCTAAAATGCGTTCAGCTTGAAATAATTTTCGCCACTGATTAGCGCTCAGCACCGTACATCCGATTGAAAATCGTTTATTTTCAATTCGTTATATTTTATTGCTATAGTGTGACAATTGTTTAATATGCTACCCTGGGGATCCCACGACATGTTTGCATGCAAACCAATTCCTGATCCTTCTTCGTAGTCTTTATATTGTCTTCGTTTTTTTCTTTTGTACCTCATGTTAGTAATATGCTCATAACCCCGTCACTTTCCTTCCACTGGGAACCATTCAATCATCAGCCGGTACTTCAGATTGCTTCAGTCAGTTTTTGACAACACCGCATGTTTCGATATTTGCGTGCGATTTCGCGTATAGTATGCCATCTCACTCTCAAGTGGTCTGTCAATCTCTTTGCGTTTTCACTGTTAGACGAGAGTTTTGATACGCCCACTCTTGCTTTTTTCATTGACTGTCCAGTGTTCGGCACTACTACGGCATTTGTAAATGTGTTTGTTCGGAACAACAGTTGTTCTGTACTCGACTACCCCCGGTTTCAACTGTTTGACAGACAGATTGAAGTGTTGGCCTGAGAATGACTAGCTCATATCCATTGACGAGTCATTTGACAGGCTGCACCAGCTCAACCCGGTTTGTCATCTACTGAGCGATATTACCGACGAGCAATCGCCCGACTGTATACTGCAAAGTTGATGCGTGAATTGGGTGCTGAGATTTTACAATAATTTCATCGTCGCAGTTGTATGAAGTGTTACAGTCAAACCCCCGTCTAACCCTTTATTGTCAGACATGGTCAAGTAGCATTGTCGTTTATACTGGTTTCCGTATTACCGCTAAGGGTATCTCGACAACTCGATTCTGATATGCTCAATTCTCACTCGTTTCTGATAACATGAGTGAAATCACCATGTTCACGGAAAACAAACATTGCGGAATAAACTAGCGTTCACCTCGCTCCATCACTGCTGCAGCCATCATTGCCCACCTGCCTATCACTTCAGTGTGTAGCATTCTGAACCAGCATATGTAGCCAATGCAGTAGTCCCCAGTCGCTCATTCTGCTCGAGTGCACTATGGGGCGATGTTGCGAGCGTTCTATCTCGTCTGTCACACCAGAAAATTGTGCAGTTATCGTGATGGTTNNCTCGTTCCCAACTCGCGTCTATCCATGCTCTGGGTTTGTGCTCGTCGGCGTGGCTAGACAGAGACACCTGAATAGAACCAATGTGTTTTGCTGCCGCACACCGACTTTGTGCGTGTGTGATGACTTTTTCATGTTACCGATCGACGGACGGCATGAATTGTGCCTTATCGCCTGATTTTGATAAACGAGCCGCACGCAGTCTTTTGTTCTTTCTCGTCTGTTTATTTGTCCATCTGACGTCCGTCAGNCACACACTTTGGTGCTGCAACCCGACAACTGCACATCTGGTTTGTGCAGTGGGATCGGATTCCACTGTATACTTTTCGTTTTGTGTTGTTCGTCTGTATCCGACTGACTGTCTTTTCAAGTTGTTGACCAAGGCAGCTTCATTCTCCCCCAATCCCTTCGGCCTTCATATTAGAAAATGGGCTATACCGGTGATTGGGAAATGGAGGGGGTGAGGTACAGATTAGTTGTGAGTGATGAACCGTAAATCCCACATCCTCCTTACACACCAAATCTGATTTATTGTATTGCGGACAATTGAACTCGCTTCACTGTTCACGAAGTCAGCCTTCTCCTGGATCTCGCTGGAGGACGTGAACCAACGGCGCAGTGATATTGTCTGATGTATATCTGGTTACCACAACGTAGGCAGGTACATGGTTTAGTGGCCATAAGAGCCTGCCAAACTATGTTCAACTCTCGCACAACTGTCTTTGTTACCTGAATGACAAATAGTGATCTTCCGTCCCGAAGGAAAGGTAAATTGAACACAGTTGTCAATTTTATGATGCGGCTTTTGGCTTCAAATTGTAATTATCTCTGCTTCTCACAATCTGTGTTTGCTCTCCAAGCTATTCGTGGAAAATAGCTTGGACTCCGATCGTACACTGTTCAGAAGTCCGTTCGAATGATAAACCATTCTTGTGACTCCGGTTTCACCTGTTGCCATAGCTGGTCGAAATGAAAGTTCATCTCAGGTTGACTTATCGAAGATAATCGCCTCATCATTTCAACTAGTTGATTGGACAGCGCTTCTCCGGTTCTCTTTTCTCGCAGGTTTTTTTTAATATTCCGCACTTTTGCTTAATTGTTTCATTCTTTTATTATGCTCTTATCAGAATAGAAAAAAAAGACTGAGTAGAGGCGTGGACTAAATAAAATTCCACTTAGACGAATAGCCATTCTACCGTGTTGGTATTGATTGACTGAAGAGCCTAGCAACGATTCCATTTTGCGCAAACCCCACGGAACAATCGAATTGCCGTTATGTTATTCCATATGTTTGCCTAAAGGCAATATTAATACTTAATCAACAAACATCCTTTCACCCTGTGACCGATTTCCACCCTTCGGTTTTTCCCCCGTGAACCCATTAATCAGTGGTTACTAAATCAGAACCAATCGCCATATGGTCTTAAACAGTAGGAGATCTTGTAGTGTTTGTCTATATGCTATGTAACTTTCGCTCTTGGTAACTGTGCATGACTATTAGTTCACCCCAATGTTCTCATGTTCTTAACACATTTTCCACAGTTCTCTGTAATTTAATCACACATCCGTTCTCTCTCTCTCTCTCTCTCTCGCTATGCTCACCTTTTGAACTTCTAGATCACCCCTGAAAGGCATTGAATTTCTCATCAAATATGGGTTCTTGGATTGCACTCCGGAAACGGTGGCACGTTTTCTGCTGACCCGAAAAGGGTTGAGTCGTGTGGCCATCGGAGATTATTTGGGGAACACAAAAGACGAACTAGCTATGACTACCACTCGGTAAGTGACTTGTGAAACTGTCTGTATGACTGTCTCCTACATCCACTCTGGTCGTGTGACCTAACTAACTGTTCGGGTGGATGGGGAATCTATTCTGACCCCCTAAAACAATACTCGTTGATTGATGTGGCTACTGAAAGTGTTGAGTTCCGTCTTAGGTAAACACATAGCTGCGTGTTGTCTAGATATATTACTGAACAGCAGGTTTTTGTGATCATGGGGCTTTCACCGTCTGCTGTTCATCACATTAAGATGTTTAATAGGAAAAATGGATTAGTTTTCAATGGTAAAACTAACATTCCTGCATCGGTGGATCCTCCCCACGTTGACCAACCGTTATTCGCCTTTGTGGGTAGAATGTGGTTCGTATCAGGCCGCTACTCACGCCTGAGCAAACAATGATGTTTGTCTTTTTTCCTTTGATCCGGAAGTGTATATGTGTCTGTCACTATAGAGATCTGTTCACGTCAAACAAGCAATCCGTCCGATCTTATTCACATCCCCGTCTTGGGTGCGTTTTTGTCCACTCCATTTGCTTCCATGTACGCACACAAACACGCGCACGGTGGACCTCAATCGGTGCTAGCATTTCATTCCTCCCACATCGTTTCAGAAACACCTAATTCCGGTTCAAGTTCCCTGCGCAGATGGAAGGGTGAGGGAGTGTTTGTGTGTGGGAGGGGGGAAGGGGGCGTAGCACGAAGAAAGGAGATAAGAATTCGGCTGAGACTAATTTCGTCTCTAATCTGGACATTATCATTCATCCAAGTTTTTCTTTGGCCTCCGGTATTAATAATCAGGATTATTTTTCATCATCCAAGAGCTTTTTCATTCTTACCGCCTCTCTCCTCTTGAGGTTCTTAAGGCCCTTGACCTCTGACCCGGATGGGAGATCCGGGTGCTGGGTGAATGGCACTCAGACCATGCTTTTCCGATCCTGTCGGTTACTCCGTAACAAAAGAGATTCATATGGATGGCTGAACGTTTTCACGAACCGAGTACCCTCGAAATCTGGTTGTCCAAGCTTCTGTCGATTTCCAAAACTACAGGTTTACATGCACTCCAACACATTTCATTCTCGTTGCAGATCATCACTGCATTAGTATTTTTTAAAACAGTTCTCTTTCAACGACCAACTCACAAAACCACCATTCTTTCTGGGTTGTGTAAGAGTGGAATACATTTACATCTTTCTATCACACAGCAGGCAGAGTGAGCCTCAATTGCAAGGACTTGTTATTCCCCTATGGAAACCGGCAACCTAAGATCCGAGACTTGGAGTGGCGTGAACCCGCATAAGTCCACTATCAACCTGACGAATATTCTAGGTTTCTTTTATCGAAATTATATGAATGGTAAGATGACAGATCCCCCATATATATGCTTTTCGTCTGCGTTCGCTGTTTGCTACACAAAATAAGCGAGTTCATGTGTGACCAGTGAAGCATAATAAGAACAGCGATGAATGGGTAAATTGATCATATGTTCTACCATAAGGACACGAGAGTGTTAGATAAACAGTCTGTGGACGGTAATGCCACGGTAAACACGTAATGGATCAACCTCGTTTGCCCCCAAAGGGCTGATTGTGTGCGTGTGTGTCACGCTGGGTGATGTCTCATAGAAACCTCAGAACTCGAATAATAGGTGGGTCAGGTAATTCTGTGTGACCGACTGCCGTAATGTGTCCCACAATCTTCTAAACCGAGTTTCGTCGGATTGCCTACATTAATGTCATGCGGTGCGTCATTGAATGTGCTGATCAGTTGAGAATATTCGTGGGTACTCGTTGAGCCTATCAGCCGCTGTATGTGTCATTGAAACTGCGGGTAAATTGATAGGGGACAAGTAAAATATTGGATCCAATGGAGCTGTTCAAGTAGTTTTAGAAGCCTGTCCGGTTGGTAGTTTGTAGTCATGATCGGCATCGTTGTCGTACAGAGAAGCGAACTTCGCTGATCATCGTCACTGTAGTGAGTGCAGCTCGTTACGTTTGTACAAGTTGTTTCAAAGATGAAAACAATACTTTCTGTGAGTCAAATAATCGGATCTTTTTTCTCTTTTTCTGTTTCTTTTTATTGGCTATATATGTATTGGTACAAACAGTTTTCCAGAATTGGGAAGCGGCCGATCAAGGGACTGTGATGAAACACAGACCACAAGTCCTCTGGGCCATTGGTTGTTGGTGACCTAATCTACTTTACCCCCGTACTCCAGTGCAACAGGTCCTTGAAAATTTTTTGTGAAAGAAAATTGTATAACTATTCAACTGTTTCCGGAAGTGGTATATTTGTGAGTAAAGAGACTGCATAAATCGAATACATCTGATGGGAACTCATTAGTCCTCATTTATCTGATCGTTCGAGTGAGTATTTCTGGATCGGGACAGGGATGTTGATAAACTTGTGCGTAAGTTCGATATTTTGCTGAATTTTCCTAAGACCTGGCATCGTAACGATGAAAGTTTTGGTCTATCTATCATTGTGAGTTCGTTATTATTTGAATTTTTGGAAACAACAACTTTTCTCTCCCTGTATCAAACCCCAACTTTTGTCACAATCACTTTAGGTTTACCGATTGCGTTTGTTTGTCGCATAACAACAGTCCCACTGTTGCTAATGCGGATTTTCCCTTCCATGGTCGCGTTGCTTCTCGTGGTATTCTTCGCTACCTTTTTCCTGTTTGTGTATGCATATTTGTTTGCAAGCTTAGCAACGTAACTGTGCGAAAACGAATCGGGCATCGTGACTTAGCCCCCTCTCAGCGGTATGATTCATCGGGCACAGAATCGTTTGTATATCAAATTTACGAGGTTCTAACTTCAATACTGGACCAGTTGGTATCTCACGTCCCAAGTATAAGCGTTTGAACATTGACATGAGAACATACCCGATTGTCCTTGCGTCCTCTGGTTTCGACCTGCGCAAACAATTCTTTTAGGTTGTTGATATTACCGTGGAAGTTTTCCCTGTTAGTGTGTAGCAGTGGTTTGTCTGAGGTAAATCTGCCGCTTAGGTTTGTGCACATCTGGGCATGTGGATGCCATTTACACTTGTCATTTAAGTGTGGCATAGTTTCAACGATCAAACGAACTACACGTCTGTCCTTATGTGTGTGCTTGTGTATAGTCAGGTATGTGCTTAGGATAACTATTTTCTCCCGTTCATGCAATGATGACCAGATGATGGTAAATTTCGGGATCATAGTCGTTTCTCCGTTCCTCCGTCGTTTCTGGAAACTCATTTCGAACCACCTAATTTGAATATGTACGACGCTATCCTCGAACTCAACATGCAACTTTCTTATGCAACCTCTTGTTTTTCTGGAGCACATACCACGATCGAAAAATAACCCTCAACTCAGCCACCATGTCACCGATTGTGGACTACCAAAACTCCAGTAAACTATGTTTTTCTCTGGGGTGCATGTTTAAAAATAGCTCACAATTTGTCATTCGGACACCAAATATCCACGACTGGCTGGATGCACAACCGGGAAAGTTTTAGTCAAATACAGTTAGGAGAGTACAACGTAAGTAATAACTGGACTAAAGGATATGGAATACGCGTATTTGATGGGCGACAACAACCAGGAAACCGAATGTGTCTCCAGGGGACTTTAATCTAACCATTTGTTTACTACTCATAATTTTTGGCCAATTTCTTTTTTTCACTTACGTCGTAAGGTAAACTCTGTGCTGATTAACCGAGCTGTTGGCCATAACGATCACACAAACAAGTGATGGTGGCTACACAGGATGGCTTTTGTCGAGTCAAAGTTCTGATCACCTCTGGAAGATCAAACGACAGAGGTCGAACAAAGTCTAATTTCCTGGTCCTCCAATTTAGGAGTTCGATTGGCATTGGCGTCTGAATCGGTGAAATCTTAGAGGATTAATTGATCCAAGTAAATGAGCCCCCACTCCACCTTACCAGCTGCCTTGTGGTTAGGTTCTGGTCAGAACCAAAGGCTTTGGTTGAAAACCCTAATCGTTCTCCGGCTTATTGGCTGAACACCTTAGCGGTGCCCGTGCACAAAGTTGCTATGAACAAACGAAACATAACTCCACTCTGTATCGTTCTTTGCGCAAGGTAATTGGGACCGCGCTGCCCGTGACATCGAGCGGGGTGGATAATGCTAAGTAGACTACTGATCAGACATCCCAACCTTTGCTTAACTCTTTATCTTCTGTTCCCAACCTTCATCCTTTGCCCCTTCTTCCGATCCAAAACGTTCTCTCAAGCAACTTGTTTACTGGTTGCCACAGGTCAATGCTAAATAACACCTCAAGTAGTTTACCAGTAAATATACTGCAGATTCTGACACCTCGTCAACCACTGAATTTGGAGGACTTCAATGTGAGGATTCCGATGCAGGTGAGTAAACAAGCGTGTCTTGTGCGTACAATGGGCTCTAGAAATTGATGTCTGTTGTGTATCGGAGACAGGAATTCAGCATCCAAGTAGTGTAAGCCATTTGCGTGCATCGGGTCTATCCTTGAGGTTCTTCCGTTGCACATCAGAAGAAGATGAAGCCCGCACTTTGTATCAGTGAGATATAGAAATTGTACTCAACGGTAAATTTGAGACCTCAGTGATAGATTGGATACCCGTTAACAGTCGTTTTTGCGGAACAAGGCCCCAGGGTTGTTAGTATTCGGAAGGGAGGCCACACCATCATTTCCGCGTGTGCACCAGCTACGGTCCCAATTCATAAAAGGACCAATTTTATGGCAAACTCACTAGCCTCACTCGATTGAGCCTCAGCTCTAATATTACAGTGCTGGTAGGGTATTTTGGCCCACAAGTTGAAAAACTGAGCGCATCCGAACCTTGTTTATGGGTGGGGGGGGGCGCTTAGCTCTGTCCGCCCAGCGATTCCTTCAGTTCTGCGCGGATCTTCAGTCGTTCTTATCTAGCACCAACTTTCGACATAGCTCTCGTCGACGGCTGTGGTGTTCTAGTTCAGTGGTTAAGTTAACCCGAATTGACCACATTGCTGTAATCTACCTTTAGCCTCTCTCTGTACAAAATTGCAGATCCCATTGGAGCACCTGCGTTAAATCTGATCACACACTGGTTCTTATACGATTCAGGCTTCGACTCATCGTTCACCGTCCAAAATCGCTTCGTCAGTTAGCTCATCATTGTCTGCGTGATCCCTTTGTTTGCGCACGGAGAAGACAAGCTTGGATAGGACCTCGGAACACTGCAAGGTGGTTGAGTCCATCCACAGTGGGATCAATGCACTCGGCAGCAAACTTTTCTCGTGGGTCCTAGTTCAAAGTTAGTTGAAGATATTGGATCTCTCGATAGTCAGTAGTAATGATAGAACAAAAGCAAAAGGTCCCAAGCTGCTTCGATCAAAATGGGAACCGCTGGCGTCTGCAACATCAGCTCAGGAAAAGCCTTGAGTAAGATCCCCAAATTGGTGGACCAGAATGGTTAACTAAATGGAATTAACTTCTGCATCAGGGAATAGTCTAAGACTGTTTCACCTGATGCACAGCAACGAAGGTCTTCGCAAACCTGTCATCCAAACCGTTTGCGACAAAGGTAGACAGTATCCGCATTAAATGACCGGCTTGAGTGATGGACAGTGGTTGGCCAGTGGTAACGTCACTAATTATCACCCCGGAGGATGTATGCTCTAATCCCACCACTACTGCTTGTCTTTCCCCATTATGTGTGTTGTATGACAACCCTTGGATTGGCCGACTGGTAGTCACCAAATCATCGCAGTGAAGGGCGTGTTCAAATCTCACCATCACCGTCCTACTCCCCCCATTCTGTGTTGTATGGTAGTTGTTTGATTGGCCGCTTTCCCCTCTTAAAACCTTTTATCATTCTGTATTCAATAAAGGGAAGTAGTAGTGAAAAAGAAGATCTCTGGGTGGAGTATTTTAGTGAACAGTTCAACTGGCCTGGTGCCAGTGTGATTATTCCGGTGATTGCAGTGGACCCACCATGGCTAGTCCTTTGAGCACCAACATAACTAGAAGTACGAGGCCGTATTCTATTGCCTAATAAGCTGCTCTCCATTCTTTTTTTAACTGAGAGATGACTCTCCCTCGTTGACTGGATCATTAGTTTACTTTGCAGCATTTGGTTGGAATGGCGTACCCCTTTATTCGGGTATGAATTGTTGACCGTTCTGATCTTCAAGAAAGGATCACACATCGTCTGCGCAAATCACCATGGGATCATCCTAGTTTCGATCATCACAAAAGTGCTTGATACTTCGGTGCCTCTTACCCTTTAAGGTTGGTTAATACTCGGAGGCAGGATTCCCAACAGATCGCGGTTGCATGGATCAAATCTTCAGCCCGCTTCAAGTCCTCGAACTATTTTACACACACACACACACACGTCATCGACCAACAATCACAGTGTTCCTTGATCTTAAAAGGGCCTTCGATTTAATTGTCCGATTTCGAGTTAGTTGATTGCGAAGCCCTTATGTGTTCGTTGCTTCGCAAAGGAATGCCTCAGAAGGATGTAAGCTTATTGAGATCGCTATACTTGCATACTTCTGGTAGCTTAGGGATCTACAATGGGCTAAGCAAGTCGTTGAAAGCAGTGGTCGTCTAATTTGCCCCATTTCGCCATTCCTACTCAACTTCATTGTAGACAAAACACTGAAAAACGCACTAAGTGGTCTCCAAAATGTTGGTATTGAATGGTAGCTAGCCAGCAGTGCTATTTAAAGTGAACTGACAGTATTGTTTGCCTGTTCTAATGCATGGAGTATGAACGGAGTGCTCTTGGCCGACTTTCGATTTCTATAGCTCCATTTCGTATGCACTTTGCGCCTTCAAAGTGCTAATTGATGCTACAAGATTGAATGTCGTCTACCCCGGCTACAATGCTTGATGGTCAAGAGTTAGTTTTGGTGGATTGTTTGTCCTACTTAAGTAGTTGCGTGACAAATGATGGTAGCATAGTATAAGGAGTAACCGCCCACAGTTCCAGGGTACGAGCAGCGTACGCAGGACTGAAACACCTTTGTTGCCGATTTAATGTTTCGTTGAAACTGAAAGGTCGCGTGTACTGCACCAATCTGCGGGCAGTTCTGCTTTACGGTTGCAAGATCCTTAATTTGCGCATGGAAGGTATTCATCATCTAGAAGTCCTCGATTGCCGATATTCACGTAGTTTGGCGCGGGTTGGATGGAGCGAACGTGTAAGCAACTCTGAGGTAATCCGTTGAGTGTTTGGTAATTATTCAGCGAAATATTCGTTGTCACCTAGAAATCAAATCAGTAGGCTTCGCTGGTTAGGATATGTATTGCGCATGCCCGGCTCTCGTCTATCGCACCGCGTCTTATTTGCTGTTTCAGCTTCAGGTTGGAGGAACCCAAGTGGAGGTTAACAAATGACATAAAGACGAGGCATGAAGAAATGCACAAAGCGATAAGGCAGAGTAGGTGTCTCCCATCTTCCGGGTTGGGAACGGAAAGACTCAGTAACTGGTTGGTTGGAGACACTGAAGGATATGGCAAATAACCGACAGCAGTGATGTTCCTGTTATCATTTCTTATCAGGCCAGGATGCTTGAAAAGGTATCGATGCACAGTCAAGTTGTGCACTCTGTGTGTTGATCATAAAGGTTCACTTTCCTTGTCTCCCTCGAGTTAGACCGAAACTCGATCCATATTGCACTTTTTCATCTACTTTGTATGTATTGAAAGCTTCACAAAGATCAGCGAAATTGTATTTTCTGTACTTTGCTGTATGATGATGAGGATTTCGAATCTGTATTCGTAACATCTGGCGCGTGTAAAACCAAAGAGAGTGGGAACAGCATGTGGTCTCCATTTTTGTCTTTTTTCAATTGACCACCGATCAATTGCCCATTTATCTTCAGTTTTGGAGAATTAGTGTCGCATTTGATCTTCTTCTATCTATTGGGATGTTCTTTTCTCCATTTCCGTTATTCTGTTCAGACAATTTATGCGTGAATTGGACTTTCGTGAACAGGAGGTGGATGATGCTCTCCGGTCGTTGCTTAGCTGCTTTCGCACTCCCGTGAGTTTTCCATCAGCTTGTCTATATTAATTCATGGGCTTGTGGAAACACAATGTAGGGCCTGTATTCAGTGTTTCGTTCATTCACGTCACCGAATTCGTCCTGCGTTAGCACAGTGTTATTGATTTGATCTCCTTGTCAGCTCGATGATCACTTGGAATCGGTTCTTTTACCTTTCCCCAACCACGTTGGTTCAGTATTCATTATGGACGGATAAATAAAAGTTAATAATCTCGATCTTACCGGATTATCCTTTATTCTAGGTGCTGTTCTGACTGTTGTGGTGGTGGATAGGTTTTGAGTGTTTCCTCCTCATTTTATTTTCTCCAGGGACTGAACTGAGCAAGATTCGTTTGTAAATACGAACAAAATTATGCCATAGACTGGATACGTTGAATGGATTCTACACAAAATCCGTACCCTCATCTCCTTCCACATCGCGGTCTCATTCGCGCTCCTTCGATCTCTGTCCATCGCAAGTCTACGATTCATCTCGGTGTTACTGCACGTTTTGCAAGTTCACTCATTCACTCACTAACTACCACACTCCCTCACTAACTAACACACTCACTCTATTGCACCTGATTGATTAGCCTGCTGGATTTACGGATGACTTATCCGTTTAATCATAGCCTGTTTTGTTCTCTTCAGTAAACGAACATGAGGTCCCGGGTTCCATCCCCAGTCGGGTTGATGCTGAAAAGACCCAACCAAGTCGAAACAGCTGTCCAGTGCTTCCTAGCTTTTCAGTTTACGCCTCATTTACCATATATACGACGAATTTTCACTTTGAAATTGAATCACATCCTCCATTACTCACAGAATAGGGATGTGGGTTTGTGGCGCTTGCTCAGTCTGTTTTGTTCCATCAATTATATTGAGACAACGACTGAGCCATAGTTGGACAGTCCTGCGTTCATCCGGTGACTCTCAACTCAAGGTCAGGATTGCCAAGTATCCTTGCAGTGCCACATGTCGATTTGACTGATGGCTCTGTGCTACGCAGTTATGGATCACCCTTCGAAATTTAACATTTGTATTTCAGAAGATTGAGTTTCTAGCAATTTTAGTAGCGATACGTAGTCTTTTATGGTTATTATTAATTACCTCTTCCCTGAGAATTGATTGCTGTCATGTTTGCTGTTTCGAGTAAATTAGAATTAATGAACGGTAAAACGCGTCTTCGTTTAAAATCTATGCTTTTTCTCCACCCTCCTCTCTGTTCCACCACTTCACAAATCTCACAACTCGTGTGGTCGATTCCATCTTCCAGGGTGAATCACAAAAGATTGTGCATCTTTTGACTGAATTCCAAGCGGCCTATATAGAACAGAATTCGGCCAGAGTCAAAGCGCAGTTTCGCAATCCGGACTCGGTGATGGTCCTGGCCTATGCGATTGTAATGCTTCACACGGACATGTACAGCCCCAACGTCCGACCACAGAGCAAAATGACCCGAGATGAGTTTGTGCGAAATTTGCGCGGTGTAGATGCTGGTAAGTGCAATGGTTCATCCGATCACGTGACTTCTGCAGCCCTTACACACACACACCGAGCGAGAGCGAGAGAAACAAACTGTTTCATAGAATCGTATTCAATTCAGAATAAACAAAGTAAGAAGTGGATGCATGTTTCTCGTTGTGTTGTTTTAGCGAACAGATGTATCATGTAGGAAGTGTTGTAAGTCATTCTTTCCCTTGAATTCTGAGTCATATGGCCATATGATGTGGTTTATTCTGTTACACAAACCTACAGACACTTACCACACATCACGTCGCGTACGTAAAGATATTGTTTCATGTTCGGCATCGATGACCTCTGATCTAAGCCGGTTACATATAGGAGCTTGACTAACTTTTACGCTGTTTCCGAGGCTATACAAGGACATCAACAGCTGTGCACACATTTTTGTAGACTAACCGCAGGTGTTTCCTCTCAGTACTGCACCCAACCGCCAGCACTCACTTTGTCTATGACCTGCAGGGCGTGTTCTGTCAAGACAATAAAAGAAAACTTTCCAAACTGATGTAACTGTTACTGTGTTACCAACGCTTATGATGTCTTGTAAGGGACGTGGTTATTGTTGTCGCCTGTAATATAAACGTCGAGAATGTTGAAAAATTCCCCACAATTAAAAAATCACCCATGATTGATTGACTCTTAAATCCTCAGTCTGCATAGCTTGCTTAGTGGGTTTTTTGGTGGAGCGGTTCACATTCCTGTTATCAAAGCACAGAGTACATCTTTTGTTGTATGTAATAAGTGTGTCCGAAATAACTGAGGCGGACGTGTGAGAGATGATGTATTGGCGTGGATTGATTGGAATTATTAAATCTGCGAAGGTGCACATTATTTTTACTTACGCGCACTTAATTAGATAGACAGGTTTTGACATAATATCTGTGGTGGTACCATGAGGAGTCATCATGAATTTGGGATTGAACCTGTTCGACAATATACTCCTCGTGTCTGGGTGGTGAGGAGAGATGGGGAATTAAACAAATTGTTTGACATTTGGGCCACTGTATCGAAAACTTTCTTCTCGCTTACCTGTTCTGGGTAGAGGGTACAATACAATCCACATATTTAACGCCCTGAAAATTTTTGATGGACGGAGCTCATTAGCAGGTTGAAGTGGAGTGCGGAGACTGAATAGTTTTATGTAACGCAAATCTCAGCTGCAGCTCGCGGAGTGGATTTTCAAACAAACAACAAGACTCGACGAATTATCCCGATGATTCTGATCGTGTGCTTCTAGGAAATCTTGTCCAGTCATTTATTATTAAAATACTGAAAATTAGCTTTGGCGTCAAGTGGGCTGGGTTTGGTTGCATCTAACCCAGAACACTTAACGCAGAATCATTGCGATAACAACGCTGGGTGGTTTTTTTCGACACGGTTCGGAATGGTAAACTGCCTTGAAATTTCCACTTGAACCATCACTTATCTGTATTTATTAGCGTAGCCCTATGTTAGAGGAATAATTCACTTGGTGAAAGCCCCACACGTAAGTAATCATCGTTCAGAAAAATGACCCGTTTGCTTTGGAGCCGTATTAGATTTAACGACAGAGAAGTTGTTCTGCCTCATCCATCACCGACAAAGATTGGCACTCCTGTATGACTGTTCGATCCCTGCCAGAAATCATCATCAGAGCATCGACCAAACCGCTTTAGAACTCCTGATACCGATTGTCCTGTTCACTTCTGGATTCGAATCCGAGGTAGTTCAGTATCGGTATACTGCTGATGAAAACTGAAAGAAAAAAATAACTGCACTATGCACTGCACCGTTTTCTAGTAGTGAGAAAACGTTGTCAATACGTGCGATTTCGATGTACAGCCTATTGTTTACGATTTAAGCACCTCACTAACGGTACATGGCTACGGTCACCGCTTTCCTGGCCAATCGGTGACGGGTAGGATGAAGTTAGTCTGATCATTGTTTGCATGCTGCCCAGTCATTTGGAACAGACACAGTCTGCTTCCGTTTATTGGAACAGTTAATTACTGTGATCAGGATATCTGGGTTCTGAACTGAGGTTCTCCTGACTTTTCACACCTAGTGATCGCACCACGCGTATGGCCCCCAGACTGGGATATGTTCGGTTGTTGAAGTGTGTTGATCGCGTGAGAGGAGGACAGGCTTTATCTTCCTCCAGCAGTTTTCGCTTGCCGATCTGACAGTGTATTTCCTTGTTTTCTATAGATTAGTTTGATTTAGTTGTTTTCGGTTTTTCGGGGCAGACGTGAATTCTGCGATGGAACATCAACCAGTGGGTGTTGCCCCGTCCCCTATCTGGTCAGTTGAGCTCTGTGTATCCCAATATTGTCATTACCATACAGTTGTACAACTGTAGACAGTATACATCGCATCACCGATCACTGCACCCATGCCATGGATCACCATTGTTACAAAGTGCAGCTATAAATTGTGAATCCGTTTATCGCTTTTCATTTGTAATTAAATAGTTTTGTCATCCTAGTTGTTTCCTACCGATGACTCACGCCCCCCCCCTCCCGTGTTCGTTCAGAGAGAGAGAGAGAGAGCGAGATACAACCACTGTTACACGATCGGACTGTCTACCGATCTGTTACACGACCCGAAAGTGTGTCTGTGTGTACGAGATCGCGTTAAAATTTTGTTGATGGTTGATGTGTGCAAAACGTGTACCGCCTCAGCTAAACAGTTAATTGAACAATTGACCTTTTCTCTTTTCTTCGTCTCCTCAACCACTATCATGGTTTGATGATGGGACCAGAAGCTGTAAATAGTCGCATACGCTTACCTACTTCGTAGCCTTCCTCCCTCCGCTAACCTGGGTTGCTGTTGTGTTATTTAACACGTTTTTTGTTGTTGTTATATCAAAATCGTGCTTCAACAAGGTTTACGGAACCGGGCGACATTTAGCATTTCGGTGGCACATGCTTCCCGTGCGTGTTGAAGTCGACGTTCATACCATAATATTGTATCAACGCACTTCACATGCGATATTTATTTCCCCCCATTTCGTATGCGATTCACAGCGATGGAATGAGTCACCCTTAATAATTGATTCTTTAATTAACATTTGAGCAGAACCGTAATCAGATATCTCCTTTCGGCACCTTTTTTATTCTTTTGTGAACACTTGGATTCACTCGAAATCTGTGTCGGCGCCCCCCTCCCCCTGTTCCATGGCCGTGGTTGTTTAATGTGGATATTTGTGTAGACAAAGTGTACTGCGTATGCATGGTGTCGAGGCACTCTTCTTTTGTTTGGCGCCAGCTATATGCGTACTACTGAAGCAGTACTTGCGATAATAGTTTCTAGGGCTCAAGGGAAAGTCAAGCGGTCTGTTCCCTTGTCAACTTGCGGGCAAACGATCGGAGGAGAGAAGTAGAGAGGATGAATATTATTCGCGATCTTGTTATTATTGTCATTTACGGGTCGTTATCCGCTCAGCGTTTGTCAGTACGCGCTAGCTTAATCCGAATTTGATCGATTATCTTCCCGCCTTTACTGTCCTTCATCCCGGACAATGGATGTCATGCAGAAGCAAACACATCTCTAGTGGTGTGGGACATCCCAATGCCTAGAAAGTAATTATTTATGTCAATATGTTTGTATATATGTATATTTATATTTCCCGTATGCCTACTTACACATCACAGCAACGAGGCAAAGGAGGTGGATGAAATAGGAGTTGAGTGTGATATAGTCCCTTGTCCCCAGAATCATACTTCCACTTTCTTGCTCTTCTGTTCTCTTCTCGCTCATTGTTTACCCCAAACAATCAGTTTGAATAGATATGTCTGCCTTGCCGTATTTGCCCGTGTGTGTGTGTGTGTATGCATTTGTCAACTATAAGGACCTCACATCAAAACTAACCGCTTATAGAGAGAATGTCTTGATCAGCACCACACACTAATTTGGGCGGCGTACCCTCACGCGTGTACGACTGTGTGCGCGTATTTCTCCCTACCCTAGAAACATTGGCGTCCTCATCCTCTGTCTTTGTCATCTACCGTGACATTTCAATCTAGCATATCAACCTACCCCGGTGCTTTCCGTCTCCCGTCTTCAGTCTCATTTGCTGCGGGTCTATATAGTTTATCTAATGTCCGAAGAATCTGACTATGGTGAACCATTTGAATGAAGAAAAAATTGCTTATCTTCCCCAACTACGTGCTTCCGTCATGTGTTTAACAGTGCTAATGATTTGGGGATCCGAGAGGACAAAAGGATAGGAAGATGGCCCAACTCGTCTTATCTGAGCTGATATTCATATGATTTGCTTGTGTAGGGAGGGTGAATCCAAGGATGGCGTAATTCAGGCTTCAGGTTCAGACTCGGTCTATCTACTTGACGTCGCTTTTACCCTTTCGTGGTGCTCATCGATCGGTGTTCATGGTTGTGCAAATCAATAAGCTGGGTGGTACTGGTTAAATGTTTTCAATCGGCGTCAGCAGCGTGATTCGAATCCTACGGTTGAAGTTTCGGACCCCGCTACCACCACCCAAACTTATCGCTGAGCCGTTTGGCTGACGTTTGGTTCAATACCGCTCCTATGCTAATGGGGCCTTATGTGGTTCTCCGCTCCAAGTGCTGGGGCCTAGCTGGCTGGTTCACATCAGTAAACATTAGTTCCTCCTGACTTTGGGGGTTATCCCTACTGATGTTCATCATAAAATAGTGTACAATAAAAAAACTACGGTCTTGAAAACATAAGTCAAACTACATCCCCGATATTGGATGCGGTGAAAACGTTCATTCTTGAGGTATTTTTGGGTATATCGTGGTGCAAAGTCTTGCTATGATGTTGACGCTCATCGTGCTTTTTGTTTCATTAAATTGTCCTATTCCGTTAACGATAAGTACGATTGAGAGATCGGATTTTGTTTTGAAGCACCAGGCCACGATTATTCTCATCTTCTGTACCAAGGTGTACATCGGTGAAGGATAGATTGTCTGTGATCGATCATTGCTGTCTATACCGCATTGCAAAAGTTTGTCGGACCAACTGGACAAGCAGTGTTGTGGTTAGCCGCAGAACTTTAGGTAATCGCGGTAGCCAATGGTGCTCAACCACTGTGGATTATGTTGCTGGGACACGTGTTACACATGTCACCGAATAGATTGCCCCGGTGTGCGATGTTACCCGGGGGACAGTTTGTGGAAGAAAGTTGAAGGTGGTCGACATGAAATCTGGCAGGGGAGTATGAAAACTGGGGATCGGTGAGTGTATCGTTGTATCGTTGACTGGATTAGAAACACTGAAATACTGAGTATCGTAATTAGTGACTGCCGTCCATCTGCCAGATATTCTTGCAACTTTCTTTCCCCTACTCCTTCATCCAAATTGGGCAGCCAAAAGACAGCAACGAAAATCACCACACGAGAGTGCATGGTTAATGGTTGTATAAAATAAAACCAGTGTGATGTGGGTTTCGCGATAGCGGTTAGTTATACATTTTGCAGCGGTGTCTAGTTTTCGAAAGAGTCGGTTAATCACAATCACAATCATGTTGGTGATTATTTCTATATAGTTGCTTGGCTGTATCGAGATAGAGCTTGTTTTGAAACATGTTACACGTCCCTATTTGAAAAACGAATGTTCTCGGCCTCATATATCGAATGTCATTCTTTGTGCACATTTTTCTTGCAGGAGAAGATCTGGACCGAAATTTGCTTCTTGCCATCTACGATCGAATTCAACAACGTGAGATGTCCGTCGCCCCAGACCACACGGATCAGGTGCGCAAAATCCAACAACATCTGACCGGACCGTTGAGACCGTTAAATCTAGCCTTGCCACAGCGACGTCTTGTGTGCTACTGTCGTCTATATGAGGTGAGTCCTACACCAGATTCACCATCCAATCCGTCAACTACTATCGGCTTCGCTAGCGAAACCCGGTCAGTCAATTGTCTGACTCATCTCTGTCGCCTGACCTAATCTCCGGTCAGCGAGGGAACTAGGTGGAAGAATCTATTCGGTTCTCTGTCCCATTCAGTTTTGTTTACGCGATAGCGTTTCCAATCCCTACTCAAACGGTACAGCTAATGAAACCTACTATCCGATTTGTAATAAGATCAAGGGGTTGGGGGACCCACATACCCGTTTTTCGCCCTCGTCCCTTTTTCCACCCACCCCCCGATTTTTACTTACGCCCTCCCTACCCTGCGTCGATGGTTCCTTCTGTCCGGAATTATGGCACAGTTTGTATCGGTCGCATGCACCACGACAGAAAATAGGTCCCCTCACCGGCTCCCATTCACATCTGTGTGTGTGTGTGTTGTGGTGGCATTGTGCCCATTCTCGTATAAGCCGAGGGTGGAGGGAGTGGGGGGGGGGCAATCGAGGTGGCTGCAACGTGAGAATTTGTGACGAAGCGGTCTGATGGGCTGTTTTCCTGTGAATGCAGATACACAGACACCACCTTCCGTCCATCGTCGTTCCATTCACTGTTTGCGAATTGCCATCATGTGAATGTGCACACACACCGCCTACGCACTCAACCGCGCCACGCTCATCCACCCGTTTGTCTCATTGTTTGTCGGTCTGATCGATCCCGCTCGAGTTGGTTCTTCCATCCTCCTTCCACTGACTGTCACTTACTCATCTGCATAAACATTCAGTTGTATTGGGTGATAATGTGTTGACAAATCAGACCGAAAGTATATTAACGTCTTTCCATGAGCGTGTGCACATACACACACGTCTACGCGTCCGTGCGTGGTCATCGGACATAATGGGGAGGTGAGGCGGGTTGTCTCAGTCTCACATTCATCGTGAATCTATTTATAATACTATTAAACGGGATGTTGGCATACATGGAATAAGTCGAGTTGATGATTCATACACAGTATAGACGTATACTACTGAGCCGGTGGTTTGGCACTGTCGTTTGATCTCCACTGTTAGACGATCTTAATTCCCCCTGTGTGTCTGTTGGGTAAGGGCGTTGGTGTGCCTCGTAAATTGTAAAAAAATGATAGGGAATTTCGTCGGTACGCCACGTTACGGCACCTTCTCCGACTGTTTGTTACGGTGACAGAAATGGATGACCCATTGTGTGGTGAATCTGACGATCGTCTTCTTTCGCCTTATTTTTCATTATTGTTCAACAGTATGAATTGACCGGGACTTCTGTACACGTTATAATTGACTGGTGTAAGTCCACTGGTTACAAGAGTTTTCCTGGAGAGGTGTCGGTATACGGTTTTGTGGCGGTATGAGATTCAGACATGTCATTGAATCACCTCGGTGACGGTCACAATGTAGGTGGGCGCTACTATGTTGTTCGTTGCTTCCACTGTGTGCCTTATGACAACTAGTGCGGGTGGAGAAACCTATATATTTATGTGGTTAATCACTAACTCAAGGCAGGCAATGTGCCAACACTGTAAACAATAGTAACACGGGGAATGTGGGTGGGAATGTGGAGTTTCTTTGTTGTCATGGTAATATCATGGATGTGGGTTACAGTATCACTCTTGTACGAGCTCCTAATCGGAATCCATATGCGGATGAATATTGGTATCAACATGATCCGCCCTCCAACGACGCATCCGACCACGTGTACTCCCTGCTTAAATTTTGAAACCCATTTTCCCCGTGACAACGGTTGAAGTAATTAGTCAAAAGCTTCTATTCCCATATTTCGAAATCCCTGTCTATTGAACCTATCTTTCCCTTGAATTTGCTCTCAACATTCTAGTCTTCATTCTGCTTTTTTATCCAAATGGGCAAATAAAAGACAACAACCAAAACCGGCGCACGAAAGTGCATGGTTGATGGTTGTAAGAACTGAATTGAACTCTTGGGTATGTGCTTTTCAATGCTAATCGGTATTTTGTTGAGTGTCTCGGAAATTTCAGCTTCATTTAAGCGATTCAAATCACAGTTCTATTGTTCCAGATGTTGGTTGCTCGAATCCCACGAGCATCGCCTTATTCCCCCCTCCCATCGCTCTCATTGTGCCATCATAATGGGTTGTTGATTGACCGTCTCCCTCGTCCTATATATTGATCATACGTACATCTGTTGATAAACAGAAAATAGAATCCCATTACTAAAATGGATTACCGTCCATGCGTCAGAGTCCATCGCCAGCCGCAATCCTCTGTTCCCCCAATCAACCTTATGTGTATAGCTCCAGGTTCCTTTCTGATACGTAAGACATTGTATTGTACACAACTATACGGACGCTTTCAGTCGTCTCATTGTCGACAGGGAGGAGGCGAATGAATTTTCTACTTTTGTTATGTTCGTTTTTTCTTCCAGCTCATGCGATCATGCTCACGCACTCCCGGTTCTCATCTCTCTCGTTTCCTGTTTTGTTGTTGTTCTCCCTCCCTTTGTAGGTCCCGGACAAGAACAAACGTGAACGACCCGGTGCACACCAGCGTGAAGTGTTCCTTTTCAACGATCTACTTCTGATCACGAAAGCTGTACAGAAGAAACGTCGAGACGCGGCGATCGCGTACCAGGTTCGCGTCTCACTCAATCTGTTAGGTGTTCGACTGGTCGCGTTCGAAACACCACACCATCCACACGGTTTGGAACTGTTGCTGCCCATCGGTGAGAGTAATGTGTCCTTGAACAGTAAAGAGAGCGGTCTGAACCCGGCTGCACCACTCACCCCGGACGGACGAGCCCGGATTCTGGTCACACTGAACACAAAAACACTGTCTGACCGAGCCCGATTTATGGAGGACTTGCAAGAGTGTATTGTTGAAGTGGCTGAGATGGACCGGATTCGAATTGAGGATGAGGTGGCAAAACAGATGCAACAGAAACGACGTCTGAGTAAACAACTATCCACCGCGGCGACTGTGGGCAATCACCTGATGAGCAGTTGTAAGAGCAATGGCAATCACAACGTCGGTAGCAGCAATGGGAGTAGTAACAGTCTCAGAAATAACAACAACAACAACACTTACGCTTTCATGAGCTCACAAAATCGTGTCAAGATGATTCGAGTTTTAGGTGAAGATCGTGCTAAACGACCATCAGATTGGGCACATGCCCGTCTGACTGCGTCGGCACTGAGCAACGGCAAGGCGATCCGAGCCAAGACGGTACCGCGTGAATTTGAGGCTATGGTACGTCGTGGTATTCCATCTAATATGCCCATGAATATGGCGTCCGGTGAGCTGCGGGAAACGGTTGTTCCTCGCCCGGATGTGTTGGATACAAAGTGCGGCCCGACAAAATCATCCACAGAGGTTCCTGATGCTGCTGAGGAAAACCAACGTCTTAGTGGAGACAGTGGTCTGTTGGCTGACTTGGAAACCCCTACCTCTCAATGCTCACGCGTTCTGGGATCGAATACATCCTATTCACCGTCCTAGTCACCCACCCACTCACACAAGTCCATCTTTTGCCTGTTTGTTTCATTTTGTATGCACTCACTGCCCGCTATCTACACAGTTTCGTCACTCCCATATAGTCGTAAGAATCCATGTTGCCAACATGTTGATCTAACTGCCAGGTTTGAATTATGTAAACTTCCTCCTGGCACAACCAGAATTGACACACACACACACACACACAAATGTCTCTTCTAGACCTCACTAAATAGGATGCTCCACCCTGTCTCAAGCCAACGCGAACCGTTCTCATCCTTTCCTCGGGTTTTCTTCTGTCCGCTACCCTTTTTGACCGTACCGTGGTCTTGGCGTGGCCAGTTTTCTTCTTCATGATTCTCATGTATAAAGTCTGTGATATGAATCCTTAACTCGTCGCTTACGCTTCGGCCCCCCCCCCGCTCTCATGCGCACACGGTCACATCAAAGTGTACAATACAATTACCAAACAATTAGACAGCTCAAGTTAAACACATGGCCGATTCTACCCATCCGTCGGTAGTGTATTATTTTCTTCTCTGCCGTTCTATTCCTCTCGCGGCCAAACTCACTTGGTCCGTCCAGTCTCTGTTGTTACTCTGATGCTGCCTACCGTCCCTCTCCCACAAACACACCCCGGACAGAATGTAATCGCGCTCCCTCTCAATCTATCTCCACTGAACGAGATCCTATTGCTACTGGACGTTTTTTCACACCTGTTCTCTTCTATATTCCCTCTCCCACTTCCACATGCCCTTCAGGACCGTGATTTAACGTTGGATCGACCTTTCGATGGTTTGATGATTTAAGAGAAAACTCGGTAAACTAATTAATAACTTTGCCTGTCTTGTTTTTCTGTCCGCCCATCAAAATGTGCCGGATAAGAATGATCTCTGTTACGAGCTTGTATGGGGACAGTAACAAACTAGTCGTGCACCGGTCAGAACGCGTCGAAAGCCCAAAGAGATATTGTAGATCCTGAAATCTTGAGATTGTCTTGCAAAGGAAAATCAATATTCCACGATTTAGTCGCCTCACGTTTGACTCCGAATACCGTGTTACGTAATCGGGAGGTGTCAAGCTATCAGTGGACTCAGTTGTTGTCACGGTTGTCCCGGGGTTTTGTTATCTACCCGGTTTGGCATGAACTGTCGCTCTATTCACACCGTATTGGTGGGGTTGCTGCACATCCTGGTTGAAATTCGTAAATCAGATTGGAATTGGCGAATTAGAGAACCATTTGGTGAACGGAGTTGTAAGTATTCTTTCCATGCACTGAACAGTGTTTAAGCCGACCGCATATTAGGTTCGAGCAATTGCTGACCTCAGTATGCTGACGTCATCAGTGCAGGAAAAACAGTTGCTTGTTATCTAGGTGACAACATTCCAGGTTGCTTTGCAATTCAAGGTCTACTGTTTTTGTTTGGCAACTATCTTGGGGGAGGGGTCTTTGCTTTTGTAAACTGTCTCAACTGTCTGAACGTAACGTTTTATTCTGTCCTCATTCGCCGTGCTTGATCAGATGGGATATAACGGAGAAATTCACCGACAAATGTTTATTGTACAGGACTGGCTGAGACGGAATTTGACCCTACGGTAGTGTTTCACCCGTATTCGCCAAAATTAGTGTTATTCATTCGGGTTGCTCTCTATTTCTCTTGTTCCATTTTGAATGGGTTATAATTTCCGAAATACTCGTCTGGCCATCGTGGAACTGTCCAAATGGCATTGTGCGGTCAACAATGCACTGCCGAACTGTTTGAAACGAGTTTTGCAGGCTCAAAATGTCCCATATACACAGTGGTGCTTTAACATACTGGTTATTATTGTGCTCACTGGAGCACAAGAAACCGGCGTTTCTTTGTCGCCGATAAAGTCCCGTCTTCGCTTGTCTGTTAAAATATGGGCAATCGAGCATTGCGATCCCAAGAATATTGTCAGCATTCCACAGAACCATCAGTTCCAGGGTTTCAGTTGGAATGAGTCTTGAATCGGCAGGTTCAGCAAAAACCATGAATTGTATACTTCGATAAACTAATTTTTGAGGTACAATGAAATGGATGGTTCTTTTAAACCGTTATCCAGGTGAACATCGATTTCAATGGACCGAGGTCAAGTTGGTCAGATGCACCAACAGGAGAGGGTAGTGGCATGAAATAGTTTAATCGCATCATTTTAATTACTGCTGGCGCGATGTCGGAAAGGGGAAAAAGCTGTAACGAATCACAAACATCGGTCATGGTCTGGACTGCGCTTACTGCAAGCGATTCGAGTCAGTCGGTTGAATGGGAACCAAAAACATACAAAACAATCCCTTCCTCAAAACCGGCACTCCGTTAGAGAGGAAATCGTAAGGTGCTGTTCGTTTGAGATTGTACAAGTTTGTATCCATTATTCTATTAGGCATACCGGTCTTTTCTTGCCGATCTCCCGTACATAATAACTACCAAATTGATGAACATTTACAAGTCATACATGCCTGCCCAACATCGATCCGTCTAACTCGCTTTGGCAATGAATGGTATATGTAGCTTGATACAACAGTGTTATCGGTGTATCTGATACCACCAGACTACTGGCTGTCTTTTTACCGTCAAATGGCTAAGTTTAACTCTGCAGAAACTTCACCGTCAACATGTCTCATTTTCATGCTGCGAAAAATTATTGGTTTAAATACAAGTGGCAAAATTTCCATTTGATATTTTGATATTAACAGTTAAAGTCTCTAGAAGGTATCGAGTTACAGTACCAACCCGCTATAGCCGGGTTCTCATGCTAAATGTTATCTTGAACACACTATCCTTATCAATTTTGCTAAGATCCTTATTGAGCATGCATGAAGAATGTTCAATTTAGGACACAAGAAATTGACTCAAGTTAGAGCTTTTAGATAATACACCTGACCAATACTGAGGTTGATCAGTTTATCAACTGCTCATTCTGTTTTAGAGAAACTACCGATGTATAACCGATCGGTTGATATCATAGTCGGCCAGGTTAAGACAAGAGCCATCAGCGGGTGTTTGCTTATCATTAACAACATCCTAGTGGGGCTTTTCACCGTTCGGTGTTGCAATTCTCAGAATCTGGTGTTCCAGTTTTCCCTTCTATGCGGAATTAAACGCTACTAAGGTGGATACAGTCAGTATTTGCCTCCGAAAGTCTCAGTATGGTCGGGGGTGGGTGCCAAGGGTTGCGGCTGGTCACTGATTCCTTGCACCCTGCGAAATGCGCTCATAAGACCAAGCGTCTCAAATAGTCCCTGCTGAAGAAGCCCTACTCACTACCTTCTCGCGGCGGTGTTTTCTTGCCAAAGTGAGAGGACGAAAAGCCGACATCCGGGGCTATAACCGGATTGGTGAACCACTGGTAGTTTACCTGGGGGAGTTGGCCAAAAACTCTGATTCCAAATCAACCAAGAGGAGGCGTACGAACCGCACACCTTCCCGGTTGTGGTAACCGGCCCAATTGGACGTTTGACCCCGTCCAAATGGCGTATGATCCGATAAGCTGGCCCCCAATGGATTGCCGTTTTTTCGCACACCGCCCCGCTACGTTGCGGATCAGGCTTTGGCTAACCGAAGGCTCCGGCTGTGGATTCCTCAACAAAACTCACCTGCCTTGGCCTGGGCAACCTGGCAGTATTCAGTCCAAATTTAGATTATTGTACCATGGTTGGTTCGGTGCACAATCTGGCGCCAGACGTGTGTGAAATATAATACACTCAGTATCCCGGTGGGAATAATTTCTCCGTGCGTGCTATTTCTCCCAATGGAATTCTCTCACAGAATATTTGTTGTGGAATTAGTGAATACTACCATTGCTAATACTACCGCTACCGATGCTCGAGTGAATCGGGACGAAGCTGTTTGCCGATGGTGTAGTTGGCGGAAGATTACTTGTAGACGGGGAAGGGATAAGCCGTATTTATGTCTAGAAACTCGGCGAAAAACAGGCCAGTATTGCTCACACTAACGATGCCGGTTCATTGCACTGAAATCATTCACAAAATTACCACCCCCCAACCGCGCACTGATTTTATTCTCACAAAATTGTCTTCTTTTCAGTCTCTCGTACATGTAGTCAACCAAACTGTCTGAATGGGTGCAAATCCGTGTACGTTACGCCTCAAACTCGCGGTTGCAATAAAGCCGGGATTTATGGCATTCGGTTCAGTTCATATCATAACGAAGTCTGGGTTTTTGCCTTTCAGCATCGAATTCTTTCAGTTCGCTTAAGATGCCCGGAAATTTTTCGAATGCTTGTGGAACGACATATGCGATACACGTATCTTACAGTCCTGGCGAAGCCAGGGCAATCTAACCGGAAATGCAAGCCAAGGACACTCAGTGGTCTTACAATTGTCATCCAATGTAAATAGCCGGTAATGCATAGTCAGGAATTATGCATGACACCCAAGAACAGCCCGCATGTCATTTGAGTTGGTTTTATTCGAAAGACTGTCTGGAACAAACAAACAAACAAACAGTGCTACAATCCGACCCGAAATTTGGTTTGAGTTCAGACATGAGCACCGACGCTGTTTTGGCTTTCGAATCGTCATAGTGAAGATGGGATGAACGTCACCCGGAGGAATGCTATCTCAGGTGTCCCTGCCCGTAACCGGGTATCAACATCAGTTCAGGGATTGACATTGATTAACCTTGAACTTGAGTGATCGTCTATGAGTTAATAGTTACTTCGGTTCTGTGTTCACCATGTTAGCTTTGATTCCGAGGCGTTGTTGATCCGTAGTACCATGTATCCTTGTTATTTGTTCCGAACTGGGTTAGTAACGAGAGTCTTCTACATGAGTCTCGCTCGGTATTACCAATTTCGTCAACCGATCAGGAGCTAGCATTTCGATTGCTCACGTGCGAGTATTAAATGGTGGCCACTGGTTCTTCGATCTTTCAGTTCAGCTTCAAAGGGTTTCACTGTCACCCTGAGTGACATTGACAATGGAAGTTCGGTTAGACCGAATTGATGCGGATTAAATAAGCAAG